AAAAGAAAATACATGGCTAATAGTTAGTTTAGTAAAAAGAAATTTAATATTTACACAAATATCTATTTAAATTATTGAATTGTTACATGTATGTTATTCGCATAAACTATTTATAAAAAAGATACAAATACAAAATTTTGATAAAAGACAGTAACTATTAGAGAGACTAAAATTGTTGTTCTATGAATATTGATTTAGAAAATAACTAATTATAATATCATGTATAAATCAATCGAACATGAAAATGGTAAAACAACATGTTGTTAATGAACTAAGCTTCTTCTTTTTTGGTCGAAGAACAAAGCTTTTTGTTTGATAAAATCTACACGCATTTCGGTGTTTTGGAGCAAAAAGAAGAAAGATGATGCGAAATTGGGTATGCAAGCGAGAATTAAGGTAACTGCTTCTTCTAATCGTAATTTTGTTTTGTCTCAAAGAAGATTTTGCCTTATGTATAAGGAAAGAACGTGTCAGTTTAGCGGGAAGATTGATTTTGTGTTGAAAAATATATGATATTTGGTGGATCGATATAGATAGAATGTCCTGATTTGGTGGAACTAATTGATAGTGGAATGATTTGAAGAGTATATTCGATGGGTATGAAAAGAATATTAATTATGATGGATGAATTATTGGTGGTTAATGAATTTTAATAATACATTACTTTGTGGATGTACATATTTCTTTGCATTTGTTTATAGTTGCTCAATCCCACTCATCGAGTTCCACATCCAACAACGCCGACACCAAAATCTCAATCCCCTTTTCTCATACATAGCAACTCTTTGGTTCTCCACAAAACTACTCCCAAACCAAACCCGAAGAGTGTATCTGATCATGTCTTCGAGTCTCTTAGAAAGCATTTGGTTGCAATCACCTCTGAGACTATCCTCAAATTGTTTTTGTATCCATTGCCTTCGAAGACGAGGTTGCTTGCTCGGATCATACACCATGGTCCAACAAACAAGGCGAAACTCATGAAAGTTTTGTTATACAAAAGAGCATCCCCTAGTATATGTGTTTTCATCAAGATTTTGATTCTTGAATACATGATGAGAAATGAATCAAAGTGGCTGCATCGCCATATCCAAACTTATGCAACCATCGCTTGATCATCCTTTTTCTATGCAAAACCATAACTTCCATTGAACAATTTGGAACATACAGAGCTACCGGAAGCAAAACTATGTATAAAAAAACATATACAAAATTTTGATAAAAGACCGTAACTATTAGAGAGACTAAAATTGTTGTTCTATGAATATTGATTTAGAAAGGAACTAATTATAATATCATGTATAAATCAATCGACCATGAAAATGGCAAAACAACATGTTGTTTTTAGTGGTTTTAAACAACATGTTGTTAATGAACTAAGTTTCTTCCTTTTTGGTCGAAGAACAAAGCTTTTTGTTTGATAAAATCAACACGTATTTCGGTATTTTGGAGCAAAAAGAAGAAAGATGATGCAAAATTGAGGTTTAGCGGGAAAATTGATTTTGTGTTAAAAAATATATGATATTTGGTGGGTAGATATAGATAGAATGTCCTGATTTGGTGGAACTAATTGATAGTGGAATGATTTGAAGAGTATATTCGATGGGTATGGAAAGAATATTAATTATGATGGATGAATTATTGGTGGTTAATGAATTTTAATAATACATTAGTTTGTGGATATACATATTTCTTTGCATTTGTTTATAGTTGCTCAATCCCACTCATCGAGTTCCACATCCAATAACGCCGACGCCGAAACTTCAATCCCCTTTTTCTCATACATAGCAACTCTCTGGTTCTTCACAAAACTACTCCCAAACCAAAACGGGAGAGTGTATCCGATCATGCGTTCGAGTCTCTTAGAAAGCATTTGATTCCAATCACCTCCGAGACTATCCTCAAATTGATCTTGTGTCCATTGCCTTCGAAGACGAGGTTGTTTGCTCGGATCACACAGCATGGTCAAACAAACAAGGCTAAGCTCATGAAAGTTTTGTTATACAAAAGAGCATCCGCTACTACATGTATTTTCATCAAGATTTTGATTCTTGAATAGATGATGAGAAATGAATCAAAGTGGCTGCCTCGCTATATCCAAACTTATAAATTATCGCTTGATCATCCTTTTCTATGCAAAACCATAACTTCCATTAAACAATTTGGAACATACAGAGCTACCGTATGTTGGGGCTTATGAACAAACTTAGTTGGGGCTTGAAAAAGTCCACACTTTATGTTGTACATCAAAGTTGCCTTCTTCGTTTGAGCATAGTGCGAAATCAGAACAAAGATAGGTGATAGTCTTGTTCTTGAAGCGAATGGAGACAACATCAACTTGAGAATCGTTTCCAAACTAAATCACGATGTTCTATCTATATCTATCCATCAAAAATACTCTTCAACACAAAATCTATTTATCAAATCTCTCCACTAACCCACACGATATTCTTTTCTTATACATAACTAAATTTTCTTTTGAGGGAAACCAAAATTATGAAATGAAGAAGCAGTTACCTTAATTCCAATTTCTCACCATAGTTGCTGGAAACACCTCAAGTTTCGAAATATGTGTAGATCCAAAGTAGATTTTATCAAACTAGGATTCTAATCGAAGAAGCTTTGTTCATCCCATATGTGTTAAACAATATGTTGTTTTAAACAACAATAAACATCATGTTGTTTTAAACCACTAAAAACAACATATTCTTTACTTATTCTCATTGTCTTTCATTCTATTGAATTATATAGGTTTTATTATATTATACATGATTTTATAATTAGTTATTTTCTGAATTAATATTAAACAAATTTAGTCTTTGTTATAATTATAGCTTGTTATCAAATTTTTATTTATGTTTTGATAGATATTTAATGTAAATAGTATATCTATAACAATTCTATAACTTAAGTAGATATTTGTGGAAATGTTAAATTACTTTTTACTAAACGAACTATTAAC